TTGCCGCAGTGGCTTGGTGGGGGTTGGGTCTCTCTCTGTGTCCCACTGTGCCCGCTGTGTCCCACTAGCCCTAGTCTTGCCCCCGCCATCCTCCCCATTAAGCCAAATGCTGGAAAAGCAAAGCAAGGCGAAACTCCTGTATGGCTTTGAGGAGGTCAGGGCCGGGAAAGGGGCATGGGTCAAAGAGCCGGCAGCCAAAGGAATGCCCTGACATGGGGCAGGTGACTCAGCTCCTTGGCTCAGGCACTGAATAAGTTTCCCCCAAGCCTTCATGTTTGTGGGGGGTCTCTCTGGCAGACAAAGGGAGGATGAGGAGGCTATAACTTCCCCCCCCTTGCCAAAAACACAGAGGGGGGACACAGCAGGACCCCTCCCTCCCAATAGGAATCACACAGCTGCACGCAAGGGGGACAGCTGAAATTTCTGCAGGCTCCAGGTTTGGCTTGGTTCACGCTACCCCTCCCTGGGTGCCCCCCAGGTGCTCTCAGGCCTGGTAGAGGGGCACCACGCGGTCAATGGGCCCCCGGCAGATAGGACAGAGGTGGGCAGGCAAGGCCTGGAAGCAGCGGAAGCAGCAGCAGATGTGGCCGCAGCCCAAGAGAACACACTCGCGAGGCCGCGTCAGGCAGATCACGCAGGAGTCCTCGGGCCCCCCATCCCCGGCCTCCTCGGTGCTCCTTGTCCTCGGGCGGCTGCTTGAGGCGGGCACGGCGATAGGCACGGCACAGGGCGTGCAGGAGGACGGCCAGGCCCACTGCGGCGCACAGCACAGCCACTCCCTTCCAGAGCCCGCTGGCTGACTCCAGCTCCGCCAGCACCGTCTGCCAGTCCCCCAGGCACAGAAAATACTCGCCTCCCTGGGCCGGCGGCTGGAGGTGCAGGGAGCCATCGAGGTGCAGGGCCAGCTCCCCAATGCCTGTGAGCCCAGCCCCCACGCGTAGCATCTCCTCTGTCTCCAGGATGCCCTTGGGCTTCTCCCCACTCAAGTACTGGCCCAGGAGGTCACGGAAGCCATGGGCCGGCTGCTGGAACCGCTCCTACACCGGCCCCAGCGGCACGGACGGCTCGGAGTGGGCTCTCCACGCTCACCTGCGTCACAGCCTCAGTGTCTGGCGAGGCCAGCAAGAAGGGGACGGTGTAGACCTGCTCTGAGAGCACCCGCTCGCTCTCGCTCCTGCAAGCAGAGAGGGCAGAGCTGAGATGTGGACAACATGGAGGAACTCTGAGCTCCTGGACCTCAGCCGAAGGTAGGGACTAGAGCCTTTAACCGAGCCACTTTCTGCCTCTCACGTGGTTCCAGAGGACAGCAGTCTGGACGCACCGGTGCAAGCCCACCCCTGCTGTCCCCTCCCATTGCTCACCAGCTCCGGGCCAAGCTGTTCCAGATCAGTCGATGCTCTTTCAGAAGCAGTTTCTGGATCACGCCCTGCAGCCCTTCATGGTAATGGCTGGTCAGCACAGCCTTGGCTGGCAGCACTATGCCTAAGGACCAAGGGATACATCACGGTTGAGGGAGGGGAGCCTGGCCCCTTGTCCCCGGTGTAGGGCCACAGGGTCTCCTTACCTTCCAGGGCAACATAAGGCAAGCAACTCCCATCAGCTGCAGACACCAGTGCTGGTAAATCATCATCGACCTGGAGCTTTGGGGCCTCCTGGAGGAGCAAGGACTGAGTGTGACCATGGGCAGGGGCAGATGGGCTGACTGGCAGAGGGTGGTTCATGCATGGCTTTGTAGGGATCTCTAGCAGGATGTGACCTGCTTGGTCCTGGGCATCTTGACACTGGTAGAGGATGCAGCAGGCTGCAGTCATCAGCGAGGTGCACCCAAACCAAAGGCTCTAGGCTGGGCAGTGTAGGGCTGTGGGGAAGGGACAGTGGGCAGGAGAGAGCATCTGAGGGACAAGGCTACCTGTATGCGTGCCACGACTCTGGCTTTCTTCCTGTACAGGTAGTAGAAGAGGCCGGAGAAGGCGAGGCTGGAGCCTAGGCAGAGCAGTTCCCCAGGTGTGATGGGTGGCGCGTCCATGGTGCCAGGCTTGGGCAGCACGCCTGCAAGGTAGGTGTGTTGGCTGGGGGACGGGCTGTGTCGGCCCAGGGGCAGG